ATAGGGCATGGTAGAACCTGTGGTGGCCTGGAAGACAGAGAGAAGGAGAGAGGGGGGCAGGGGAGAGGCCAGGGACAAGATACCCTTCAAAGGCAAGCTTCCAGTGACCTACTTCCTCCACCCAGGCCCCACCTCTCAGAAATTCCTTTGTATTATAACTACATCAAGAGATTAGTCCATTAGTTAGGTCAGAACCTTCATGACCAGTCACCTCTCAGTGATCGGATCCACCTGCTGGTAACTAGGTCTTCAACATGTGAGTCTTTTTTCTTGGGAGGGGAGGATCACTTTCATATCCAAACCATAGCTTAAAGGGTTTCAGGGGAGGGCCTCGTCACAAAAGCAAGCTCTCTCTCACTTCCTAACCACCAGGAGGGGAGCAGCTTTGTCCTACTATGTGCCCCACCACCACCACTATGGTATGCTTGCTGCCTTGCCACAGACTCACAGCATTGGGGCCAAGCAACCATGGACTGAAACAAAACTTTCCCCCTTCTGAGTTGCTTTTTCTCAGGTATTTTGTCACAGCAACAGAAAGCTAATTAACACAGCACCTTTCTCATTATCTTGGATCTGTATTAACCCCCTCTATAGTAGGCAGGAACAATCTACAGTCCAAGATTTCTCGTCTGTTTCTGTCCTCCCCTCCTCCAGGAGAGGATGCTAGACTATAGTTTGTGTTACAGTAGGTAGAACAGCTAATTATGGCAGCTCATGTGACTTTCACAGAGGACATTTGATTTGTTAAGAGTTTGGGCAGGTGCCATTTGGAACACATTCCACATCTCAACTAGTTTAATCCCTGAATACCCCAGAAAAGAAGGCAAAGGCTCAGATACAGATTCAAGGTCATACAGCCAGTTTGGGGAAGTAAAACAGTTTTAGAGAGGTGTAACTCTAAACCCTTCACTTTTCCCACCATAAGAAACTGCTGCAGGCCATGGCTGGAGCCTTACCCAGCAGGCCCATCTCAGGAAATAAGACCAACTTGAATTTCCTCTTTTAAGGATTGAGTGTTTCTCCAACCACCATTCAGACTCCTGATTCTAAGGTCTTGCCCTGGAGCCTTAGGACAGAATTTCTCAAAGGATGTCACTTAGCCTGCTGGAGAGAGAACTGCTCTGCTCACTCTCAGCCCACGTACATCAGCCTGGCCACAGAATATGGCGGTGTAGTTTGCGTGTGGCACAAGAGCATAGAGAGAAGGGGCAAAAAGGTGGCTAAAATTCAGCCTGTTTGGGTTCTGTGAGCCCATGATGCTGTGTCTTCCCATGAAAACAAGGGGCAACCCTTTTTTAATTTCCACCAAGGCACCATAATGGTAGCGGGGTCCAAACTGAGCAAACTCCTGAGGCCCAGAAGAGTTACCTGTGAAAAACTTAGCTAAATTAATCCTCACATTCCATCTGCTCAGCCATAGTGATTGGCTGGGGAATGGGCACATAATTTGTGTCAGATTATTCTTGGCCAATCAGACTTCATTAGGAAGCTCATGTTTGAGGGCTGTGGACCTCTTTCCTGATAGAGGCGAAGGCTAGAGCTGCTGCAGCCATCTTATAACTACATGGAACCAGCAAAAATGGCTACAAAATGAAGACAGAAAGCCCCATGCTGGGACTTGTTGAGCCATTGGTCAGGTTACACCTGAAGCTGCAATCTACTTATGGATGGTGGAGTATCATAAAACAATCAATCCCCTTTTTTGTTTGAGACAGTCTAGTTGTCAGTTGTACTATTGCATATACACCCCTACACATTCCTATTTCTTGTGCTCTTTCTTGGCTTTCTATGAGCACCACAGCATTTGTGATATTCTCATACCATGTTCCTTACTTATTTAGTTTATTATTTGTCCACCTCCACCCCAGCCCTGGTGAAACACATGCTCTATGACAGCAAAGACTTTGTTAACTGATGGATTCCCAGCAACCAACATGAGTTCTTGGCAGACAGATGGTATTCAATGAAGATTTCTTAAATAAGGCCAGGCACAGTGGTGTGTGCCTGTAATCCCAGCTACAAGGGAGGCAGATAACAGGATTAGAGTTAGTGAGACCCCATTTCAACAATCAAGGGCTGGGCATGGTGGCTCATATTATAATCCTAGATATTTGGGAGATGGAACTGGGGAGGTAATGGTTTGAGGACAGACAGGGAAAAAAGTTCAGGAGACCCCATCTCAGCCAATGGCTGAGTGCAGTGGCATGTGCCTGTCATTCCATTTATATAGGTAATCACAAAACCTAGGCAAAAAAGCAAGATCCTATCTCAAGAATAACCAATGCAAAAAGGGCTGGGGGCATGGCTCAAGTGGTGGAGTGTGCCTAGCAAGCACAAGGTTCTGAGTTCAAACCCCAGTACTGCAAAAACAAATTTTTAAATGCTCTGCTTACTGAGTGAATTGCTGAAGAGTACTGAAAAATCATATGTAGAAATGAAAATCAGGGATGGGAGTATGGCTCAAGCGGTAGAGTGCCTGTCTAGCAGGTGTGAGGCCCTGAGTTCAAGCCCCAGTACCACAAAAACAAAAAGAAATGAGAATCATCCCAACTCTAGAGTTAACCGTGTGTTTGCTGTTTGGCTGTGCCATGTGGATGAAGCAAAGGCCATTCACCTAACCTGACTGCATGGCTTCTCCTCTTGGGTGGCTCTTCCTTTCAAGACACACTGTAAGGAATGTGACCATCTTAGCTTGCTTTCGTTTTTGTTTTTTGCAGTGCTGGAGAGATGGAACCTGAACTCAGGCCCCTGTGTATGTGAAGCAAGCACTCCACAACCGAGCCACATCCCAGCTGTAGCCTCACCTCCTAATATGGCAAGTGACTGCTTGTCCATGTTGGGCATGGATTTTTTTTTTTTTTTTGGTACTGGGGCTTGAACTCAGGGCCTTCACCTTGAGCCACTCCGCCAGCCCTTTTTGTGATGGGTATTTTTGAGACAGGGTCTCACAAACTATTTGCCCAGGTTAGCTTTGAACCACGATGCTCCTGATCTCTGCCTCCTGAGTAGCTAGGATTACAGGTATGAGCCCCCAGTGCCCAGCTTGGGCATGGATTTATTTATAAGAACAAATTAGTTTTTCTGGAGGTAGTGTGAGCTATTCTTTAGGCCTTCTTAAATAGCAAAAACTGTATTTTGAATTCATTTTGACAGTGTTGGAGCCTCTGATTCAATAAATGGGCTAAAAATATTGCTGAGGTAAGGAAACTAGTTTGAACAGGAATAAGATTGAAACGCATGGGTCATAGAGGCTCCCCTATTATATCACCACAAGGTGTCTTGAGTTGGCAATGATTTTCAAGTGGAACTGTTTTAAAATGTATGAAAAGCGTTTAACTTTTTATATATTTCTAGAGGGATGGTTAGATCTTTTCTCTGTTTTATTTTGGTCTACCTGTTATCTGTTACTTTGGCATTTTCATTGTGTTTATCTCTGCCTTGGTATCACAAGGGCTTTTGTGATGCAATAAATTAGAAGGGGAAGGCAGAAGGTGGTGTCTTTTCTCTCTCACATGTGCCTTAAGTGAGAACATCTATTTTGGGGGATAGTCTCATCACTCTTTCCTTTGTGTTCCTCCATCTGGATGGATGGCAATACCACCATCTGACCCTCATGTCACCAATCAGTCTGGTATTCTCAATTTATCTGTCATCTGATGGAATACTTTTGTTTGTTTTCCTAGCAGGGACTTGCTCAGAACCTTCCTAGGAACTGGTGTTTCCATTTTGCTGAAACTAACTCCCCTGCCTGTCATCTTGTCTGAGATGGTACCATTCGGAGAATTATCTTTTAGGTCCATTTTAATGCTTGAGGGGAGCAGTACATTAGAGTGATTCTGTTCCCCTTTTTTGATGAGCCCGTCTTTCAGTCAGCATCCCCCAACTGACCACAGGCAGCTAAGATCCTCAGATCCAGTGTTGGACACTGTGCCTTGCTGGTTGGCTGTGCCACAAGGCCAGAGCAAGTGGCCATCCACCCAGCCTGATTGCACAGCAGAGCCACTGCCTCTCCTCTTGTGTGGTTTTCTTCTACGAAAAATGTTAATGCAATCTTGTCAAAGCCACAAATTCTATGATCACCAAGTTCCTTTGTCATGGTCACAGATTCATGCCATGCAGAGACATTTGTCTGAGGACACATTTGCCTCCTGGTTATGGGAGCAACCACTTAATAAGGAATCACAAACCGTGAGGCAAAGAGAATTGAGCAAGACCAGGAGAGGTGATTGCCAAGGCCCTTAGGTCAGCCCACAGCACTAGCTGTGACTGTCATCTGCCTGACAGGTTGAGAACTCATAATTAAAAAACGCCTCCTCACACAACCCTGCTCTGAGGCTGGCAAATATGTCACCTTCTTCTCTCCTCTACTCAAACCAGGGCTGCTGCTGGGGAGAAGGGAAGTGGAGATGAGGAGGAAAAGGTGAAGAAATATTTGGTGTGTTTCTGAGTCGTTTTCATCTCTGCCACTATGGATTGGAACACAGCAACCTCCTATGTAGACCCCTATTTAATAAAAGAATTTATTAAAAGACTCTACTGGTGAAGGTTCCCCTCGCAAAGGAAGATTAGCAGGTGGCTGAAGGGAGGCTGTGGGCAGAGGCTGCAGAGGCTGAGGGGGACAGAAGCCCTTTCTTAGGCTTCCACTTCCTGTCTTCAAACCTTTACCCTTATGGCCAAAGAGCCACCTGCTCCATTGTTGGAGACACAGATTCCTGGTTGCTTGAGACAGCTGGAGAGCAGGCAGGAGGAAAAAGCAGTATGGAGTGGGACTGTGGGTGAAGACTGAGTGCTAGAGGCCATCAGGCTAAGGAAGGGCAAGGCTAGAGACCTTGCCCATTCTAAGGTCTCTGTCTCTGAGCCTAACAAAGTCAGCGCACTTGGAGGCTTCAGGAGTTTTAGCTACTATGTTTACTCTCTGAGAGGAAGATCAAGTTTAGCCACCTTGTGAGAAGGAAGAGGGATGGGGTGTGTGCAAGACTGGCAAACTCTTGATTCTTCCTCTATGGCCGGTATTTGCACAGGAAGTGTTGGCGTTTCTTGCATTCATTTTGGTTCCAAGTTAAAAAGTCTGTAAGAAAATACATAATCATTTAAGGCCACCCAGTTCAGTACCGAGCTTACCAGCACTACCTAGGTGTTTGGCTTGAAACCATGGATAAGGTATAGTGGTTGTTATTTTATGTGTCAAAGCATGACAAAGATATGATGCCCAGTAGTTGGGTTGAGATGTCTAAGCAGTTGCTAGTTGTCTGGCAGCCTAAATGCTACTGTGAAGGGGGTTTTAGATATTATTGACATGCAAATCAGTAGACTTTGAGTCTACTTTGGACTTCAGACTGCCATATCAGCTTATAAGAATTTCCAGTGTGGCAACCTGCCCTCTGGGTTTCAGACTTGCCAGCCCCCAACAACCACATGAGCCAATTCCTCATAATAACTCATTTACATATACATCTTATTATTTCTGTTTCTCTGCAGATCCTCAACTAATATAGATACTCACTTTTCTAACCAAGAGAAGAATCATTTAATGCCACACATAATTGCCAATCTCAGAAGCTTCACTTGGGCCTTGTTTGGAAGAAGGTGGTCTTGGCACGAATCTGCCTTGAAGGAGGGCTGGCTTGTGTTGGAAGCAGTGGCAATTGAGGATCTGAGGGTTATCTTTCTTAAACTCCACAGGTGAGCTCTGAGCTGCTCCACTTGAAAGTTCAAAGAACCAGAAGCTGCTGCAGCCAGTAATGTCCCACCGGCCACCCACTTACACAGAAGGGCCGAGCCAGGAGCAGGTGGCCTTTTGAAGGCCTGAAAGAATTTTGAGGAGCGGCTCAGCTATTTCTGCCCCAAATCAAGTTCATCAGAATCACCTAGGGCATTGAGTCTCTCCCAATGAGGAGTCTAGTTGTGTTGGGAAGTGCTGTGACACCAGAAGAGATGCACTATCTCCATTCCCAGTGCTCATGAGGCTCAGAGGATGGATCTGCCCATGCCCACATCACAGCGCCTAGAGTTACAGCCTGAGTGTAAATGACACCAAGGCCACAGTGTCACTAGGCACTTTCACAGTGTGGCATCAAGAGAACAAGCATATAGCCACTAGCCTGGAATCTGCCCTGAGAGAGCCTGAGTTGGAGCGTCATTGTTAGGGTGCCACTGGGGTCTGTGCCTCCTGAGTGGGTCCCTTCCAAGTCACTCCCACTGAGCTGCTAGATAAGCTAGAAGAGCAGTTCCAAGCAACCTAGGGGACAGCCAGCTCGCCTCAGGCACCACGTCCACTGGTCCCTGTTTCTACGCTCCTCTCTTCCTCTCTCCCCCAGCACTGGAGGCTGAATTACAGAGAAGGGGTGGGGACAACCAGAAACCCCTCCCCTCCAGGTCACAGAGCCTGAGTCCTGCACCAGGGGAAGCATTCTCAGGCAGTAAGGGATCCGTACTGCGACATCCCCCTTCTGCATAGCACAGAGAAGGAAGGAACCTGTATAGGGTCACACATCTCAGTGAAATGCAGGAGCTGGAATTCTGTCTGGGCATTGACAGAACCCCTGCTCTTGACCACAGACAAGATTGTACATGACATTTTTTTGTTTTGTTTTTGCCACTACTGGGGTTTGAACTCAGGGCCTCATGCTTGCTAGGCAGGAACTCTACCACTTGAGCCATTCCGCCAGCCCTGGCTTTTTTGTGTTGGGTATTTTCAAGATGGGGTCTATTGAACTATTTGCCTGGGCTGGCTTTGAACCACAATCTCCCTGATTTCTGCCCCCTGAGTGTCTAGGATTACAGATGAGAGATGACATTTCTTTGTAAACTGTAAGATTCATTCAGTGTCTCAAAGTGAACCAGTGGTAAGTCAGGAAACACCAGGAGTCACAAAACAGTTACAAAAACAGCATCTCAAAGAGCGATAAAAGGAGACACAGAATAAAACACCTGGTAGTTCTTCCTAAATAGAAATAAAAACAGGGATGGGCCCTGTCACAGAGAAGGAGAGTGGGTGTGTGGCTGTGTGTGGTACACTATATTACACCTTTTGAATTTGAAAGAATTACAAACAACCTGGGGCAAAATCCACCCTACCAATATAAAATGGTACTGACAAGGATGAGAGCAAACTTTAAATTCTCTTCCTTTCTGTGCTTTTCTGTCTCCAGAGCCCGTGCCCTCAGCTGTGGGCTGGTGTGAGTAAATGCGGGAAAGGGTGGAATCAAAACACTTGGAGTTCTCAAGAGGACGTTGGTCTTCTGGTAGTCCAGTGCAGCACGGGCTACCTCACTGCAGAACACTGCTGATCTGCTCCTGGGCTGACAGGGAAAGGAGTTTTCTGAGAACTTTGTCCAGTGGAAGCCTTGGAATCATGGGACTGGGAGGGGCTTTGGGAGGCATCTGGTCTACTGCTTCCCAAAAGCTGGCCTGTCTTTCAGCCCTGGAGAGTCTTATGTTGTAGGTCTGGAGCGAATCCTTGGAACTGGTGTTTTTAAAGGGTTCTTCATTGTTAGGTGCAGGTGGCTCATACCTGTAATCCTAGCTACTTGGGAGGCCGAGATCAGAAGGAAGGCAGTTTGAGACCAGCCCAGGCAAAAAGTTCCTGAGACCCCATCCTCAACAGAAAAAAGCTGGTCATGGTGGCTGATGCCTATCATCCCAACTACAGCAGGAAAGGTAAAATAGGATGGTGGTTCAGGCTGGCCTGGGCAAAAAGCAAGACCCTATCTCCAAAATAACCAGAGCAAAAAGGGCTGGAGGTGTGGCTCGAGCGGTAGAATGCCTGCTTAGGAAGTACAGGCCTGAGTTCAAATTCCAGTCCCACCACAAAATGTTTCCTCAGTTGATCTTTTATGTCACTATGTCACCAATCCTGGGTCTTGGCAGTGCTAGCACTCACTTTTCCTCTTGATTTGGGTAGACACCACAGTTTGGCAGTTACCACCTGCAGGCCTTGCTGTGCTCATCCAGTGGAGCTGACTTGTATCTTACATGGCAGCAGCATGGTGTCTGCAGTGAACTTTCCTTCTCTGGCTTCTTGTATGTGAGGCCTACCTCACAGTTCATCTCCTCATGCCTACCTCCCCCTGCTGTTAGGAAGTTCCTCCACTCTCTTCTTTGCTCTTACAAGCTTTATTCCTCAGTCAACAGTAGTCCATTGTAAACCCAGTTCCTGAGTCCTCAGCCCAGGCCTGTGCCACCACTTCTCATCTAAGAGAGTTCTTAAGTGACCAGGACAGCCTGTTGAACTCACTGGGATGTTCTTGAATACATGCCCAGTGGCATCTAGTACCCGTTAATCTTGAATACTCTATGTTCTCATTTCACATCAGATCTTCTACAGTGGCTCTCAACAGCCAGGAAATCTGACCCAGCAGAGGACATTTGACAATATCTGGAGATGAGGGAGATGCTCCTGCCATCTATGACGTAGAGACCAGGGACACTACCAAACCTGCTATGGTGTACAGCCACGACGAATCAGCCAGCCAACCCATGACGACATTAGTGCCAAGGCTGAAACCCTAATTATTAGTATAACGAGCAAAGAACAAAAGCAAGCAAAGAAAGGGAAGAGGCCCAAATGACAGCGTGCAGCCTACACTCCAGGATCTCTGGCTGTACACACTGCCCTCTGGGGTTAGGACTCAGGGAAAATGCAAGAAGGAAGAACCCAGGCCAAGACTTGGTTTTGAGGCCTCCTGGAGAACCCTGATTTTAAAAAAGTTAAGAGGGATTCATCTGATTTCACTACATCTGTTTACTCCCAGTGGCCTGTGTTTCCCCAAATGGGACATATGTCCCATTCATGGTATATGATATGATTTTAAAACAAATATATTTAAGAAAGAAGTGAGTGGCTTGAAAGAAAATATGGAGTAAACGGATGAATGCTAGAATGTTGATGTGGCAAAGATTGTTAAGTGGTCACAGATGACTGAAGGTGGTTCAGTGTGTGTGGCAAAACCATTTCCTGCAGAATGGTGTGAAAGGGGACAGGTGGGAACTTACTGTCCTTGGGGCTGATCTCAGCACAGTGCTTGGCCCCACTTGTGGACCTGTTCTTCCAGGTTTTATACAGGTACATGGTCCCATCAATCCACTGCCACAGCTGCCTCTGCAATGACAGAAGACAGAAGTGACAAGCTGGCTGGCCCAGTGCTCCCAGCCACAACGGCCCTGTGTCTCCTTGAAACAAAGATTCATAGTAAAACCTGGGGGTAAAACCTGGGGAAAAGTTCAGAGATGTGTGAAGAGCAGAAGCTAGGAGTAAGGAAAACCTTGCTAATATTCTAGAGCATTTACTTCTGGTATAAACCTTTTTATATACACTTGTATATACTAAAAATGTTGTGATCTTTAAAATACATACTTAATTGTTTTTCAGAGGTACTGGGGTTTTGAACTCAGGGCCTCTTGCTTACTAGGCAGGTGCCCTACCACTCGAGCCACTTCCTCAGCCCTGTTTTCTTTTTCATTGATTTTTTTCTTTATTCACTTATTCCTAAGTGCATACGGTGTTTGAGCCATTTCTTCCCCCTGCCCCCCCATCCCCTCTCTCTCCTCCAATCCCCTCAGCCATATTTTCTTTTTTTATGCTTTAGTTATTTTTTTGGATAGGGCCTTACATTATTTCCTGGGGTCAGCTTTTGTCTGCAATCCACCTACCTATGCCTCCCTCGTAGCTGGGATTACAGATATGCACATCACACTGTGTACTATACTCAATTTTGTATGTTGCTTTCTAAAGCTTCTTCTAATGGTAATGTTATCCATAACCTTAGTAGTCTCCCAATTGATAGGCATATTGTTTACAATTTACAATTATAAAGAATACTACTATGAACAATTTTGTTCAAAAATCCGTTTGGCTACTTAAAATTATTTCCTTATAATACAATTCCAGAAGTAGAATTAAGAGAGTCAGGGGGATGGATATTTTGAGGTTATCAACGTCCATTGCCAAAGTACTTTCCAAAAAAGAGTTCAGTTGTAGAAGTTCACCCCCTCACCAACTGGGCAGAAGGACAAACTCTCCACATCCCTAAAAAAAGTACTCATTGAGGCAGAGAAAAAGCTCAAAAATCTAAGTCAAAGTATGTCATTTAAATTTGTATTTCTGTGATTATTAGAGACATTGCAGAACTTTAAAATGTTCATTTGTTTTTCTCAGTCACAAATGTAAAAAAAATTAAAATAAATACGTATCTTATGTCTGAATGATGGAGTCCTGATTTTAGCACTGTGAATATATAAAAAATATAAAATATCTAGACTGGGTGTGATAGTACACTCCTGTAATCCCAGCAGTCCAGAGGCTGAAGTGGGAGGATCATGACTTTCAGGCCAACTTGGGCTATATATTAAGATGAAGAAAGACCCCCCCCAAAAAAAGTAAAATTTCTGGTAGCCAAATAAACACCATTAAATGCTAAATAAATGCATACCATTTATGTAGTAACTATGGCAAAGGATTACTCATTTTTCTGTAATATTCAAGCAAAGAGATGGCATGAAGATATTTACAGATCAATGTCAGATAAACACAAACCCATGATGGAAGGAGTACAGTGCAGCATCTTCAGCAGCATCAAGAAACAGGAAGTCTGAGGTTCTCTCCTGCATTCCCCATGTCTGAGTACAGAAGCCCCACCAGGTCTCGGTAATTGCAGAGCCCAGCAGCCAGCCAGACCTCACAAGTCATTCCTTACTATGAGGATTTGATGGAAAGCACAGGAGGGGATAGTCCAGTGGGATGAATTAAGGATGACGAAAAAGTAACCAACTCTAATGGGGGCCCAGAGGCATGGCTCAAGTGGTAGATCACCTGCCTAGCAAGTGCAAGGCCCAGAGTTCAAGCCCCAGTACCACCCAAAAAGAAAAACAGCAACAATAAGACCTAATAGGGGTTTATTCAATCTGAATCTCACAGTGGATCTGCACACACACACATGCATACACACAGTCACACACACATGCACACATACATGTGCATGAACACACACATACATGTATGCACACACACAATATATAAACTTTTGTGGGGGAAAGCTCTGGAAAATGGTAATTTTCTGTCCTAAGATTCAGGGGGCAGTCTGAATGATGCCCTCCACTGAGGGCCAGGTCTGGGTCCCTGATCTCTAGGCCATGGGTATTGTCATTGGAGGTGACTGACTGAAGAAGATCCACTGCAGTAGACCAGGAGCCCACTTCCCAGAAGCAGCTGTCCCCCTGGCTTTCCCAAGAGGCCTTTGTGGGCCAAGTCTGGGGTTACCTTCTGTGGGTCATGCAGGCCAATCCAAAAGGGCTGAACTTTTTGATAGCCACTTATGTACTCTGCTATGACGCTGGCCTCCTTTAGATCCAGGACAGATGCCAGGTGGGTTCCGTTTCCGTATAACTGACACTCAAGCTGCACACAAAGAGTCGCCCCATTAATGATGCCTCGAGCCTTCGAACACAACCCTCTCCCTGGAACCCTGCTGTGCCAAGAAGAATGGATTCACAGAGCCCCTCCACCTCCAGAAACTAGGCTGTAACCCCAAAGGACACTGTCACCATGGAAAGAGATGTAGTGTCAGAGGAAGTACCTTGGGTCCTGGCCTTGCCTCTCACTAGTGAATATGACAAGTCATCTCACCTCTCTATGTCTCAGATTCCTCATAATCACAAGGTCTGGGAGACTCCTACTTTCTCTCTCTCTCTCTCTCTCTCTCTCTCTCTCTCTCCCTCCCTCCACTCAGCTCGGGAAAGCACTGCATTAAGGAGTATTTCCCTGAGTTTTCTCTACTAGCCACTCTTGATATAATCTTGGGAATGTCATTTATGCTCACACAGCATTGAAACTTTCTGTCGAAATGTCACAATCCTGCATTCCTCAACTTTTTAAAGCCAGAGAACACTTTTAGGTCCTCATTAGCTACCATGTGATAGGTGCGCTATCTGGCTTTTTCATTTCTTCTTTGTTGAGTTCTACACAGGGGTTCTGAGACCATTCTGGGTCTGGATCATGCCACATCACAGCCACATGGCTCCCCCAATCAGTCACTCCAATTAACCACAATTCAGAGGCAGCAGCACCTCACTGAGCAGACTGAATATTTGGGTGAGCCTTAGACAAAGCCTCCGAGAAATGAACCTATGCAATTGGGGGAGGGGGGTGGTGTAGAGCAATGAGGCCTCCATTTGGATGCTTCATGTCTTACCAGGAATCCCTAAGTACATGGTACTCAGCTCTAGTACTATCTACATAACACCCTCTCATGCAGGAATTCAATTATTCTTTCCCTCACCTCATTCTCTTCCTTTGGTCTATGTATTTCTAGCTGTCTGAGAGCAGGGGCTCTTTCTTATTCCTTCTTATATCCTGGGTCTTCACATACACTATCTACTTCACCGACTGGCTTGAACACACAGCCCTCTCCTCTCCATTTCCCCAGCCAGCTGGCTTCTCTTCAGAGTGCCAAAGAAGGACCTTTGACTCTGAAGTCAGTGAGATTTGGGGCCCTGGGTGGCCCCTTGCCCTAGAAAAGCCAACTGGTCAAATTTTTTACCTCAGCTTCAGACCAGTTCCTCAGCTTCTGGAAGTATCCATAGCAGTTGGACTGGTAGTAAAACCATCCCGAGGCACAGCTGGGTCTTATGATGATTTCTGTGCCTAAGTAAAAGACAATCACAGGTTGTGATAGCAAAACAATCAATGCCCACACTTGATACAGCTTATAGATCCAAAACCCCTTGAATGAAGGGGAGAAGGAGTGCCTCCATCACCAAAATTTATACTGTTATCTTCCTCCCAGTCTTTGTCAAAGGACATTTTCCCAGAGTAGCTATGCATTTGGAAAAGAAGACAATTAGTGCTGTCTGGGACTCCTGGATATTGACTTTGAGATGACACTCATTCCAGCAGACCCCAAATGTCACTGCAGTGTAGCAATCAGAGTAGGGATTAAGGAGGCAGGTGATCATTGGTGTTTTGGCTCGGGTCTGTTGCATCTATTTGTGCTCTCAGCTGTGGTCACTTCCCGAGTTCTGGAATGCACGACTGGAGTAGACCTGTTCAGGACCTGGCAAAATTCCACATAGGTAGTAGAGGCCAAGTAACATAAGTCAAGGCAGCCCAAGAGTGGACTAGGGGCCTGGACTGATACAGGGGTTTTAAGTGGGCTGGGGGGAGACACGGGACAGGCTACAGGGCAACTTGGCTGGAATGAGAGCATCAGTAGCAAGGGGAGGGAACATATGAGGGAAAGAGGGCAGAGGACCGGAGGCAGGAAGAATGTGCACAGCATGGGCAGAAAGAGCATGCACCTAAGATCGCCTTAAGCACAGGGTCTGTCAGGCAGGGAAACAGCAGAGGCCTGGAGGCAAAGGAGGCTGCGATCCCGGGAGACTGGTGCTCTTCTGCCAGGCAGCTGGTGTGTGGACTGCACCACTGGATCTGAAGGCTTTTGTTTTTGTTTTGGGATTTTTGGTGGGACTGGGATTTGAACCCAGGACTTTGTACTTGCAAAGTAGGTGCTCCACCACTTGACACACACATCCAGTCCATTCTGCTCTGGTTATTTTGGAGATGGGGGTCTCGAGAACTATTTGCCCGTGCTGGCCTCAAAGCTCAGTCCTCCCAATCTCAGCCTCCCAAATAACTAGGATTACAGGCGTGAGTCCAGCTGATCTGAAGGCTTTTGAAGAAGGAAAGAAGGTTGGAAGTGCAGAGGGTCCACATGATGAAGGATGGGCCAAACTAACAGTCTGGGCTTTGTGACAAATGTAGCAGTACCTCAATACCCCAGATAGGTGCAAGGGTTGTTTCCTTCCTCATGGTGTCTACATACTGGAGCTGTCATATAGCATTCTCTCTCCCTGGAGGACACTACTGTCACTCGTTTGCCCCATTCTTCATTACATCACTGTCTATAAATCTCTCTTGCTTTCCTTCCCTGCTCCTTAGCATTAGGAGTTTTGCAATCTTTTCCTGTCCTATCCCGCCAACTTCTCCTGTGCAGAGGTCCTGGCTCTGACTTGGAACACAATGTTCCTTACAGGTTTAGATCCTTTGCATGTGTGGTTGTATGGATGGATGATAGGAAATCACTAACCCAGCTAAGAAGTAGAAGGAAAGGTTTCCTGGGGATCCCCAAACATACTGAACTCAAGCAGCAAAGATGCTTATTTCCTTCTCCCTTTAGAAAAAGGACCATGATTTTATGTGAAGTTAAAAGAAAGTCTCTATGCTATTGCCACTCCTCCTGCTGCCACCATCACGGACTTCCATGCACAGTATTTACGGTGTCATGCTTATGCTGAGCAGTTGATCCACTCTATGCTTTTGTCACAGCAACTCAAAGAGGTGAGGAAACCAGCTGAGGTGGTCACCTGCCCAAGGTCACACAGTAAAATGGGACAGTTGCTTTCAGATTCAGTTCTATATTTAAACCTCTGTGTTCCTGCCACCTGCCTCCCAAGCTTAGATTTCATAAACACAGAAAAATAAGAAACTAGAAAATTAGCAACAGAAATAATTACAGGGCTGGGAGGCCTCAGCTGTTTTATAAGGAGGAAAGAAAGCAAAGGAGATCTGAATTCTTACAAACTCACAATCTTCTGGCTTCAGAATGCAAGTGCTTGGGTTACAGTCATGGTCACCAAAGCCCAACTGATCTTCTGAAGGTAATAGTGGTGAGAATATTCTCAAAGATTTGGCAACAGGTTCCCAAATCTTTGACCCTAAGTGCAAGGACCAAGCCCCGCCCACCCCCATGCTCCTAGAGCAGTTCACTCTGTGTCCTTTTGTGTGGTCAGAAGTGACTCTGCTTGCCATTCTGTGGGTAAATACATGAGCATTCCTCTGCTACCTTGGCCTTCACTTCCCCTGACTCCAGATAGTGAGAGCAGAGGTTCCAGAGACACCCGTGGAGGATGGAGGCCCCAAGCCACCGTAGGGGACCTGAGATCATAGTTCAGGCCAGAAAGTCAACAATCTCTCTCCCTCCCTTTTCTCTGTCTCTGTGTGTCTGTTCCTTCGAGGGTCTCTATCTTTGACAATTTCTCTCTGTTCACCTCTCTCTGTGTGTATCTCTGTCTTTCTGACTCTATATATCGATTTCTCCCTGTGTGTCTCTGTCTCTTTCATTTGTCTCTGTGCTTTTGTGTCTCTGCCTCTCATTCTTTTGTCTCTCTGCTTTCCTTTCTTCTCCATCTTTCTCTACCCTTTCCTTGGCTTAGCACTATTGCAGCTATGCCATGCGCCCCCTGGTGGGGACATTTTAGCTCCTAGAAATGCAACTAATGACTGCTCTGCTGAGGCGCTTCTGCACCTTCTACACCATACATTTATTGAACATTTGCTGTATACCAGGTGCTGTTCCTGGCAGTTTACATATATTCTACTATTCCCATAACAACTCTGTAAATCAGGCACTAATATTACCCTCATGCTCCCCATGAGGAAATAAAGAGAGGAAGAAGTTATATCCCAAGCAAAGAAGTGACAGAGACATGATCTGACCCCAGACAGTCTGGCTCCAAATAGGAGCTCTAGTCAGTTTAGTCTTAGTCGTTTTAAAACCTGGATGGGCCAACTGAATTTACTCAGGTCGCCTTGTTTAACTCCAGACCCTCCCTGAGAGATAGGAGTGGGCATCCCCATAGTAAAGAGGAGGAAACCCGGTAAGAAGATGAGTGAGCTGCTGACGTCACCAGATGTGGAGTATGTGGAACCTGGGAGAGGAGCCAATGCTTCCTCAGCAGCCCTAGATCGCCAACCACCCACCCTCCCTTCTGTGCTAGCTCTCCTCCTTATTGTGCATGTAGTGACAAAAAGTTTTAGCTCCTGGCATCTGGCCTCTACTCCCCCATGTCTTTCTATTTCATCCCTTAACAGATGTGTGTCCCCAGGGACATTATGTAACCTCTTCCCACTCTAGTTTTCTTTTTGTACAACGTTACTAACAATGTACACCTTCTTCATAGGGTTGCTGGGAGAATTAGTTGGGATAATGCATGTACAGTGATCAGTACAGAGTCTAGTATGTAGCCAGTGTTCAAATAATAGTTACATTGTTCAGTAAGGTATTAAAAATCACTACATCCTTACAGGACCAGTGTAATATTTTTGAAACTGTTAACCAGGTGAAGTTTCTGTTGTCCACAAGTCATGCTGCTCCCAAGTCTCTCTGCCCATGGAATCAATGGTACACATTGCTTCAGGCCAAGGACAGCCTGGCCAAAAGAAGTGACTGTGGAGAGGGCAAGAGTTATGATCTCAACCTCCAGGACCTTCTAAGAGAGAAAATTGATTTCTAAAATTCTCTATACTTCCCTTAAGGGCAATACTAGACTTTTTTCCCTAAGTCGTGGTACAAAGAATATATAGAGTATGTCATTAGGGAAATTCTCCCAAGCTATGAGGACAAATAGAAAGTCTTTCTGCTGCTGGGACGGGGGAAATCAGCTCCACCCACTCCTGGGAGAGACACCAGAGAGGTTGGGAAAATCCTGGGTGGTGGTGGTGGGGTGATTGCTAATTCCCCAGGATATAGCTGGCACCAATGCCAATCATCATTAGGGAAGCCTGAGGTCAGTCCAGCAATAAGAGTGGCAGGAAATTACTGGCCATGTTGAAGGCAACTGGACAAAAGGGGCCCAGGGAAGCATCCCAGAATCCTACACACTCATGCATGGTTCAGAACCGTGGCTAAGCTACCCAGGAACTCCCTATCTATAAATGGTTAAGAGAACTGGTGACCAGAAATAGGTGTGAAGTTGAGAGCAAAGAGTCACAGAGTACAGAAACATGGCAAGAGCAGGTTGTAGCAAGGACCACAGACTTCAACCATGGAGCCTATAGGATTCCCTAAGAGCCCTGCTTTTCTCTGGAGTCCTTTCTAGTAGATCCTCCTCTTGGCTAAAAGGAAGCCCCAGTGGGAGAAGTGCTATGTTATAGACAGCACAAGATTCCTTACAGATGTCAGGTCACAGGCAAGTGTGCCCAATCTTGGGGCCTGACTACAGGAAAGTCATTGGATAAAGGGAGGGAACACTCTCTGAAAGATGCGTCCACAAGGAAAATAAGGTAAGGGGAGAGTGCAATTCTGAATATAGTCGGGAGTAATAAATAGCTAGATCAAAAGAAAGAGATCTGTATGTATGGATGCTTAAAACTAGAGGTAAATCTAAAGTCTTCAGTGTCTAAGAGTGCACTGAAATTAATGTAATTGTTTTGTGTTTCATTGTGTGAATTTTTGTGTATGTCTATTGTATGATTAACTTATTAGAGACAAAAAACTGATAGCTACTGTCTTATTGGAGACTGAGACTGACCTAAAACCCTTTCCTAAAATTGACTCTTGCCTCAGCTGTTAAGTGCTCAAAATGAGTCCTAAAAGAACAGAATTGGACACTTTTCAATCTGCTCCTAAAAAGTTTTTAAATAACTTATCAGTGTACTTGTGGCCACTTAGTTAATTTTTACATGTTCTTGAGCTCTTGAATTTATGCACACTTAAATTGACATTTATGGCATGCCTAATTTAAAACCTTTTCTACATACACGTATATTTAAACATCTTTAAGATGATTCTTATTATAGAGTTAATGTAAAGAAATACAAGGCTTCTGTTCTCTTCTCTCCCCCACCTCTTCTGCTGCTACTTTAAA